CAGCAGCCATGATGTGGCTGTGGTGGGGCAGGAGTCCTGGGAACGAAGGCTGAGCCCTGCATGTGGTCCCATGGGCTCCTTGTGACCAGCCCGGACAGAGCCTGGCGACTTTACCTTCCATGTGGTGGGAAGCTAGAGAGGGTTTCAAGCAGGAGGTTTCAGGGCCTGATTCTGGTCAAGAAGACCACTCTGGTGCTGGGTGGAGAGTGAGATGTCACGGGAAGGGGTGTGACCTTTGAGGCCCCCACAGCAACCAGGGAACAAACAGCAGCTCTGATCTCAGCTTGTAATTCCCTCCAGCGCTGTGGGGGCTCCACAGCAGGAGACTGATTTTCAGAGAATGAACTGCAGATGAGTCCAGGGCAGGCCCCTGCACAGCTGTCCCTCTGCTGGCCAAGATTCCAGCCCCAGCCCTGGCCACTGGCCGGCAGAGAGGCCCCGAGGGGTCCAGTGCCCAGTGGGTGGTGTCTGGGTCAACTGACCTGACATAAAGGATGCAGGACAGGGCCCCAGGCCTGGCTCAGATCCCAGCTCGATAACTACCCTCCAGTGATCTTGGGCAAGTCCCTAAACGTTCCTCAACCAATTTCCTCTAAAACAGGTTAATAGTGCCTTCCAGGCCAGCCTAGTGGGAGCATGCCCAGGATAAACGAGGTGACTTACAGACCTCTAACTTCAAGTTATCAGGTGGTCAGTAAACGCTTATCACTGAATCGCACCCCTACCCCCCAGCTCTTGTTTTAAAGCAGATTCTGTTTGGGCTCATTTCACTCTTGGGAAGGTGAGGGAAGCTGGCGGCTTGCTGCACATAGGCCTGCTGTCAGGTCTCCTTCGCTGTGACCTTGGGCCGGCCATGTCCCCCCTCCCTGTGCACCACCCACCCCTCAGGCAATCGCGGCAGGCACCAGGGCAAACTATTCTAGAGAAAGCAGGGCACCAAGGAGCTCGCTGTGACCTTGGGCCGGCCATGTCCTCCCTCCCTGTGCACCACCCACACCTCAGGCAATCGCGGCAGGCACCAGGGCAAACTATTCTAGAGAAAGCAGGGCACCAAGGAGCACTCACTAAGTAGAGGTTATCTCTCTCCCAGCACTCTTTTCAACAAATCTGTGAGCTGGCCTTTTTACAAACACCCTTTTTTTACAGATGAGGTAACTAAGGCTGGAGGGGAAAAGGAATTCACTCAAGGTCCCCCAGCCTAGGGGTATGGGGTCTGACCCAGGACCCTTTGGGGTATTAGCACAGCCAGGACAGAGGGGACCAAGGGACATGTGAGCTTGGGTGTCACAAAGTTTGAGCAATAAATATTTATTGAGTACCAATTGGCCCAGGTTCTCAGGTCCTCAGTGCCCCACACCTGCCAGTCAGTGCTGTGGGAATGGCCCGGGGAGGGGGGCACAGAGGGAGGTCACAGCATTCTGGCCCCAATTGGCTTAAATTCTGGTGGGGCCCCAGGGGAGCTCCAAGGCCAGGGGAGGGGGGGCCCCCACCAAACAAGCCAACCAGCTCCGGGTCTTCCCTCTCTCCAGGCCAAGAAGCCTCCTGGACCAGCGCTGCCCCAGTCCCCCAAGCCCCCGCTCCAGGTCTCATCAAACACATCACCACTGCCTGAGAATGACTCCGGGTGTCCCATCTGGAACCACCATTTAAATCCTGCAGAATAAAAGTCCCCTGGGTTCTTTGTCAATGCAAAGGAATGGAGAACTCTTTGCTCATGGAAATAGTGGGGCAAAGGCAGGAATTCTCTCTCCAAGAGCCTCTGCCAGAAGACCACAGAGATCCCAGAGTCTGAGCCCCTTGATGCAGATGTAAGTCTAGTTTCCAGAAAATGGGCAGTGCCATCCCCCACAGCAGCACTTGTCAGCCCTCTGTCCCACAACCCACCCCGCCTCACAGGTCAGCTCCGCAGAGAAGCCCCACACCAGGCTGGACTCAGGCGTCCTCTCCGCTCTCCCAGTGGGAACAGGGCTGCCTGCATCCCGCATCCCGCCAGAGTCCTGGGAGGGCACAACTGGGCTCAGCATCACCTGCACCTGCCAGGTGACCTGCACACCTCTGGGGAGGAAGGACAGGTGGGCGGGAAGGCAGCTCAGGGAGGTGCTGGCTGGAAGACCACTGGGCGTCTGCGAGGAGGCTGTGTTCTGTCCCTCCTCCCGCAGCTGCTGCCGTGTCCCACCCCCACCCCTGAAGATGGGCCCAGGGAGCTTCACCCCAGCACTCGGGGGCTGAGCGCAGGGCAGACGCCCGGTGACTGTCAGACACACATCTCGACACAGTGGCACTCAAAGAGATCAAAATGCATTTAATGAGGCCTAGTCTCATTGCCTACATCTTTAGATACTGCTAGGTATTGAAAATAACATGGAAATTCTCCAGTTTCACCATTTAAAATAGGTTTGACATTCTGTGACCTCACACAGGACAGACACCCTATGCAGGGGCTTCCTGACGGTGGCTACTTCCCGCCCCCCCAGGACCCTCCATCAGGCAGGGACCAGGTGGCACAGCACCAGCAGGGGGTCAGGGGGCGGCCACCTTGTTCTGAGCAGCGTGCACCAGCTGCACACAGACAAACCGCCCCGCTGACATTCGCGCACATCCACACATACACGTACATGTGTTTACACAGACAAACACACATGACCTCCTACACACGAGCCAGGTGCAAACGCTCACCCTCAGGTGCTCCACCCTGGCACACACACTCCACTTGTGCACAGCATCCAACCTGACGTGTGCACCCAGCCCCCCACACAGAAAACATGCACACGGACACGCCTGTGGGCAGACACACTTAACTGCATACACACACGTACATCCCACGTACCTGTTATCACCCAGTTACACGCGTGGAGAGAGTCGCCCGTGCACCTCTGTACCACTCACATGTGCGCACGTGTGCACACACATGCACTCCCCGGGGGCCGAGTCTTCCTGCACACTCACATGGCTCCTCCCATCCGCCCTCCCCCTTCAAGGGCACTAAAGAGGGAGACTATTTTGGTCTTTAGCACAAGCAATAAATAAATAAATAAATGCAGGGAAAGGGAAAAAGAGGGCAGAAGAGCTTGAAAACGCAGCCTCTGCCTGCCTTTGGCGAGATGAAAGGCGGCTCGGGGCTGCTCTCCCGCGGGGGCTGGGCCTGGACCAGCGGCATGGGCCTGGGAAGAGGGCAGGCCTGACAGTGAGGGCACCAGGCCATCAAGATGGCCAGGGAGCAAGCATTGGGGCACCTGGGGGCCCTGGGCTCCTCCCTGGGTGGGAGAATAGAAGTCTAGCCCACCAGGCCCTGCAAGAGCAGGGCAGGGCAGGGGCCCCTCTGCCAGCACCGAGTGACCAGGGGCCACCCCCATCCCTCCCCATCCCTCAGCCTGCCAATTTTGGTGGTGGGTAAGAACCAAGCACTCCCATGCCAACTCCACCCCAGGCTCCCAGGGCTAAGGCTGAGAGAGCCAGGCAGGCTTTGGGGCTGGGGGCCAGGCCCAGGAGCCGGAAGGATGTGAGGCCCTTCCAGCAGATCCTGAGAGGAAAGAGGCTGAATCTTCTAGGCCAGAAATTGGGCTGGAGTCTGGGACTACGACGGGGTGTCTGGAGCCAGGCCTACCTCAGGGTATGGGGGCTGGGGAGTCTCTGGGCCCCTGCTCCTGCCGTCTTGCAGGGAACTAATAGCCTCTGTCTACATCATGGTCCCTGGTCCTCAGGACCAGGTCTCCAGCTGCCACGAGGGAAAGAGGAAGAGAGAAGTCAGGAGTCCCCACCCCGGGCCCCCAGCCTCTCCTGCTTCCCCCCAACCCCCACCCGATGCACAACCTGGCACGTCCCCTTCGCTGCTCTCTGCCTCAGTTTCCCCACTTGGTGTCTTCTGGTTCTGAGCTGTCTTGGAGACACAGGCTTTCTAACCACTGCCTTCTTGGGGGGCCTGGTCCAGAGAGGAGAAGGCTTGCCAGCAGCCCTGGGGAAGTCTGTACTCCATCCCAGGGCCTGGCCCCTGCCAGCTGCCAAGAACGAGACAGGGCAGCAGAGCCAATGGCCAGTGACAGCAAGAGGGCCCCAAACCTCTTCCTGACAAGAGTGTCACAATGCCTTGACTGGAGGTGGGCAGAAGAGGCCCCTGAAGCCTGAGCAGGAATTCTCTGTTCTGTGGCCAATGTCTCAATTCAGCTCTGAGTGAGTGTGACACTTCCCAGATCTAAGTTGATGGGAGGGGTGACAATTCCTCTCCTTTCTTAAGATCTTTCCTCTGCCACTCAGTAGCAGGCCACGGAGCCTGGCTGTGCCTGATCTGGGCTCACCTGTACTGCCCCAGGTGTGGAGGGCTGTGTGCCAGGTGAGCCCAGCTTTGCCACCTTCCCAAAGCAGAGGGGCGGGCAGGGCGAGTCCAATAAAAACAGGAACCCAGAGTCTCTAAGGCACGACTCACGCTGTGGGCCCAGTGGGGCTGGGGGCTGATCTGCTTCCCTTAGTCTGGGAACCCGACCTCCCTTCCCAAGGAGCCATCCACTCCCGACTGCCCCTCACTGTGGAAGGGCGGAGGCCACCGGGCAGGAACGGAGAGAGAAGCAAAACATGGGAATCAGGGTGGCGGGGGAGGGAACCCTCAACAGCATGTCCCATACCCAGCCCTGAGATGCACCTCTAGGGTACAAAGTCAAACTCAGAAAGCTCAAATTGGTTTCTTCCCATCCCCCACCCTCACCCAGTGACATAAGGAAGTTTTTATTATACTCATTAACATGGTTTTGGGTTTTCTATCACAAAGAGGACCTAATTTGCCCGGGAGCATGAGGAACTGCACGTGGAGCACAGCCCTTGCCCAGGGGGGTCGTGGGCCCAGCACACACAGGGGGAGGGGCCAGTCCCACCTTGGGGAACCTTCCGGAGCCTCTGTCGGCTGTTCACATCATGGTATACCCATGGAATTCTAATTGTCCTTCCCCCCACCTATGAATTAAAAAAATTTTTTCAACTGCATGTTAATTATTATTATTTTTTTTGTAAACAGTCTCACCCAAGCTAAGGTTGAGAAAGCTGAAACCCGGAGTTTCTCCCCAAGTTAAAAACCAGTGCGGTGCACTGCAGCCTGCCAGCCTTTGACTGCAGAGGCTGGGCCCACTTTTGAGCCATTCCTGGGCAGGCTGCAGCTCTATCTTCATGCAGAAGCCCCTGGCTCCTGTGGCCTGGCCCCCCCGGGAGGCCACCTCCCTGCCCCTGTGCCTGGGGCTGGGGGCTGCTGACTCTGGCCGCCCATTCTCCCGCCAACTTTCTGAGGCCACTGCGAAGAAATGTAAAACAACTAAAACGCTACTGAGTCTGCAACCCAGGGCACCTGGCCCGTTCTGCTCAGGCCCAGGGCCCCTGAGGGACACCGGGGCCTCTCCCTGGCGGGGGGGTGGATGCTGCTTCTAGGCCAGCGGTGGCTCAGATCTCCGACTCCCGTCTGTAGGGCCGCTGCTCCAGGGCACCACCACCAGCCTGGAGTCTGTCAAAGTCATGCCTGGCCTGGGGGCTGAGGCCCTCCCGGCTGCAGCCATCCTGGTCCCCGTCTGCCTCGTCCTCCTCGTCGCGGCTCAGGAAGGCCAGCTCGTTCTCATAGCAGAAGGAGTTGGCACTGGGCAGCAGGAACTTGTTCTCGACCAGGTCCTTGGCACTGCAGCGGGGCGTGGAGGGCACCTCGTAGGTCTTGTGGAAGTGCGAGTAGTCGATCTTGTACTGGTTCTTTTCCTCAAAGAGCACAGGCTCAAAACGGTGGCCCCACAGGATCTCGTTGGCCAGGTAGGAGCTGCGGGCCTGGGTGGTCATGGCCGTGGCCTCCACCATGCCCTCCAGGATGACCACGATCTCAAAGTCGTCCGTCTCCAAGTCCTGCCGGCTGATGCCAAACAGCGGGCTGGCCTCGTCGATCTCATGCAGGATGGTGATGGGCGACACCAGGAAGATGCGGTCCAGGCCCTTGTCGAAGCCCACGTCGATGTCAATCTGGTCCAGCGGGATGTATTCACCCTCCTCCGTGACCCGGGGCTTGATGAGCTGGGCCCGCACATGGGCCTCCACGATGTGGCTCTTGCGCAGGTTGCCCACTCGCCACATGAGGCAGAGCTTGCCGTCGCGCAGTGCCACCACGGCGTTGTGGCTGAACAGCAGCGTCTGTGCCCGCTTCTTGGGCCGGGCCATCTTGGCCATGATGGCGCCAATCATGAAGGAGTCAATGATGCAGCCCACGATGGACTGCGCCACCACCATGAAGACAGCCACCGGGCACTCTTCCGTCACGCAGCGCAGCCCATAGCCGATGGTGGTCTGCGTCTCGATGGAGAAGAGGAAGGCCGCCATGAAGCCGTGCACCTGCATCACGCATGGGGTGCGGCCACGGCCCTCGGCCGGCTCCAGGTCGCCATGAGCAACGGCGATGACCCAGAAGATGATGCCGAACAGCAGCCAGGAGGCCAGGAAGGCCAGCGAGAAGATGAGCAGCATGTAGCGCCAGCGGATGTCCACGCACGTGGTGAACATGTCGGCCAGGTAGCGCTGCGACTTCTCGTCCATGTTGGCAAACTCAATGTTGCACTGGCCGTTCTTCTTGACGAAGCGGTTGCGGCACCTGCGCCTCGTGTGCACCCTGCCGTTGCCAAAGCCGTTGGCACCCGACATGGTGACCAGGTGCAGCCCGTCCTCCTCCGACGACACGATGCTGTAGGGGTTGGCCCGGCTGGCCGCGGTCATCCCGGGGCTGGGGGGGCCTCGGCTCGCCCCCAGGCTGGCTCCAGGAGTGGGGGTTCCTGCAACACAGAAAAGGGTGGTCTGGCTGAGCAGGGGGCACCAGCTCATTCCTCGCCCCCACCCTGGGGCCACGGATGAGGCTGGCAGACGCTTTGACCCTAAGTCACCCACAGCCAAGGTCCTGGGCTTCCCTCCCGCCCTGTGCCAGCTCCTCACCCCACCTTCTCAGCTGGGAAAACAGCCTCTCCAGCCTCCCAGTAACTCCAGCCAAAACCCTTGGATTCATCTCAACTCACTCCCACACCCAGGGCTCTGCTTCCAAACTCTATTTAGGGTCCAACCCCTTCTCCCACCTTCAAGGCCTCAGTCCCTGTCATCACCCACCTGGACCAGTGTGGGGGACACAGTGCCAGCCTCCCTGCCTCTGCCCGGCCCCCAGTCCCTGCAGCAGCCACAGGATCCATCCCTCCTCTGCTCAGCGCCACGGTCCTCCCCGGGCTATGCAGGATCTGCACGGGCAGAGCCCCGTGACCCCTCGGACCTCACCCCCAGCCTCCCCCTCGCTGGCTCTGCGGCAGCCACGGCCAAGAGCTGTTCCTCGAACCTGCCCTGGATGCCCTCCTCCAGACGACCTCCCGCAGCCTCGCCTCCTTTGGGCCTTGGCCCCAACGCCACCGTCTCCAGAGGCCTCCTTGTGCCCAGGAAGATTGCATTCCCCTCCCCCGCCATAACACCGTGCACAGGCTCCTCGGCAGAACAGCGAGGGCAGGAGGAGCAATAGACGCAGCAGGCCTTGCACTTGCTCACCCCACCTGAGCCCACCAACTCCCCGGGGGGCAAGGAGCTCTCCATGGTGCTCCCCGCTTTCTTACCCCCCTGCCCTAGAGCAGGGTCTGCCACCCCCATCTTTCCCCCCTCTGCCCTTTTGCACACATGGCCCAAGCTGGATCCTGCCTGCCCTCCTGTTGATTGCACACCTGCCCACAGCACCCACTCGGGGTGTGCACCTGGCTCCATGCCTGCTTTCTCCTTGTCTCCAGTGGCAGTAAGGAGGCAGCCCTAGGGCCACCACCCTGGTGCATGGGGAGGGCTCAGAAGTGTCACCTGTTCCCATCACCACCTTCAGCCCACTCGGGGTGTGCACCTGGCTCCAGGGCCAGCCTGCTACACCCACACTCAGGCACACTGGGTCACCCCAGAGCAGCACCCCACAGCACCCACCCACAACCAGCCAAAACAAACCCTGCTCTCACGACCGGCGGCCCATGTCCACCCAGGACAAACAGGCTGTGGCTGCCCCTCCCCCCTGCTCCACAGGCTCCATGCCAGCCTGTCGGTGCCAGGCTGAGGCATCAGTGAGTGGGGGCCCTGGCCCTGTGGCCACTGATGCCATCTGGACTTCAGCCTGTCTCGGCTGAGCTGGGCTGGAAGGAGGGGCAGATGTGGGGCCTGCTGGTGTGGATGGGGTACTGAGAAGTTAGACACACTGCTCCCCACCCATGGGGAGACCTGGCACCCTCAGTCCCCACACAATCACACCAGGAGCTCAGAACTAGACAGAGCCTCAGGACCCTCGAGCGCCGGCTGCCACTCTCCCTGGAAGACACTAAGGCCCCCCAGGAGAAGGGCCCACTGTGGCTGAGTGGGCCAGGCACTGTGTGGAGCTGTCTTCAAATCCTTTGGGCCCTCTAGGGAAGGCCAGGCCATCCTGTTTCTCAGACAAAGACCTGGAGGCTCAGACACCAGACGTGAATTGCCCAAGTCCACAGGCAGAAGGTGGCAATGCTGGGATTCAGCCTCACTAGCCAGGACCTCAGAGGGGCATGGCCTCTAAGCTCTGCTCCAAACACCTGGAAGACAGTTGAGGCTGGAGGGTGAGCAGCCAGGCTGTGCAGCACTCCCACGGTCTGTGTCAGTGGCAGGGGCTACTGGGGCTCCAGAGCCTGGCAGGTATAAGATGCTCACAGCTACGGCTTCCTGGGAGACCCGCAGGGAGAGCAGGCAAGGTTCTGCCCCCACAGGGGCCAGACACATTGGCAAATGCTCTCAAGTCACCCTCTCACAACCCAAGGAGGTCGCTACCACATTGCACCTTGACTCCCCTCAAGCCACACAGCCACTAAGCAGGAGAGCAGAGATTCAAACCACTTCTGTCTAACACAAGGTCCTGCCATGGGATCTTGGGGGGACACCTTTCCTCACTCTGCCATCCTCCCCATGGCTGCTCCAGCTGACCACCTCACCATGGGTCTGAGGAGCTGAGGCCTGAGGCCGTAATGGTCGACGCTGCTTCTGCCTGGGCCAGGAGGCAGGGAGCCGGCGGCGGTGCAGACCCCAGGGACTGTGCTGGGAAGATGGCTCAGCCCCAGATTTCTGGGCCCTCCAGCGGGAGGTGGCCAGGGTCGGGACACTCAGACGCCGGTGGGTGTCCGCCAGATCCCAGGGGGCAGGTTTGTGTGGCCTGGGGGCCTTGAGGGATGTCCAGCGGGTCATGGCTGCTCCAGCTCATGCTCTGAGCAGCTCGAGGCCTGCAGGGAACAGAATCGAAAGAATCAAAGGCCAGGGAGCCCAGCCTGGCACACTACCCCTGGTAAGGGTGTGCAGTGGCTCCTGGCATCTCTGCCAGGGCTGGGCATGTGGGACCCACCCAGACAGGGTCACGCAGGCCTGGGAACCCCCGCTTCTGTTGATGTTCCTCCTAAAACCACACAGAGAAAATCAACAAGGTCAAGTTCACACCCCGCTCCCCCATTTCTCAGAGCCAGAAAGTGACTAGGAGCAAAGCCACTTGTCCAAAGTCACCCAGAAACGAAGGAGCAGAAACAGAGTTGGAGCCCAGAGTGTCAGTCCTAGGCCTCTCGTGGCCCCACTCTGCTGTGAGCGTGTGTGAGTGTGTGTGCGTGTGTGTGCGTGTGTAAGACAGAGAGAGAGCCACTAACCGCTAGGGGTGTGGAGAGCCCCTCACCACGCACTTGGTGGATACAGCACCACAAAGAAAGACTCGGAAGAGGAAGCACAAGTGCAGACCCTAGCACCACGAACTTGCCAAACACTCTGACACTCCTGTACAGACACAGGTGTGGCAAGAAGGTTGCACAACTGTGCAGTCTTTAAGGATTCAATTTAAGAAATACAGTATGATATCCTAACCAGGGATACGCAGGCCTGTCTGGCTCTTGCCCAAAGGGGCACATACAGTGAAATCGGGTAAGAAACGGGATTAGAGCATTTGTTTTGCTGGAAAGGCCATAGCAAGCAAGGAAGCCGGCTCCCCATTTTATAGATGGAAGGAAGAAGCGAGGCCGCCAGAGAAAGAGAGACTTGTCCCAGGTCACAAAGCAATTCGTGGGCCAGGAGGAGATGCTGGAGACATCAGTTAGCCCAACCTCTGCAGAGGCCCAGGCTGGCCAGCGGGGGCCCCAGCTTCGCAGGGAGGGGAAGAAGAGACTTGTCCCAGGTCACAAAGCAATTCGTGGGCCAGGAGGAGATGCTGGAGACATCAGTTAGGCCCAACCTCTGCAGAGGCCCAGGCTGGCCAGCGGGGGCCCCAGCTTCGCAGGGAGGGGAAGGGAGAGAGGCATACGCTACCTGAGCTAGACAAGGAGATTTCAACTCCAGAGCAGGGGCGCGGTGAGCCCCACTGGCCGGGAACGGGCAGCACAGGCCCAGCAGACTCCCGAGGGTGGTGGTGCCGATGCCAGCCCTGCCGCCTTGCAAGCCACTTTCCTGCCAGCCACAGCACCTACAGGTGCAGCCTCCTGGCATCCAGCACGCTCAGAGAACCAGAGCACCAGCCAGGGCCTGGGCTGGGAGCTTTAGAGAGAACGCCAGGCGGCAGCTGCCACATGACCCAAGGGTGGGGCCCAAGAGTCACCGGGAGGTGCCTCCGGATGGAGCAGGACACCCCATGCCCAGCCCCCTAAGGCTCTGGGCACCTTAGGTTTCAGTGACATCCGGGAGGAGACCAGGGCAAGTCCTGGGCCCACATTCCCAGATGCCAAGAAAACTCTGACTAAAAGGGACAGTGGAGAGGGCCACACTGCCCCAGAGAAGATGCCAGCAGTCCCCCTCCCACAGGGGCCTTTCAGCTGGCGCTGAGACCCCTCAAGAAGTATGACATAGTAGTCAATATTTACCGAGTGCTCACTACCTGCCAGGTGCTGTTCTAAGAGCTCTAGTAAATTAGCTCATTTAATCCCCACAGTAATGCTGTAACCAACTATTATTCCTGTTTTCCAGATGAAGAAACAGGCTCAGAAAGACTGAGTCACTTGCTGAGGGTCACTCAGCCTTTAAGAAGTGGAGCTCCCAGTCTGGGAGGTGGGAGTGAAACCAACTGTGGGTGTGACACCGTATTCCAGTCTCGGTCCTCAAGGCCCCTGCCATCCGGTGCCTGCCAGGTGTCACCTACAAATTACCCCAAATTGGCATTCAAAAGCAGAGGTTTAAGGACCCTCACCAGCACTGACCCACAGCCATTCACTCTTGTTTGGAATGTCCAGGGATGGGGCACTTACTACCTCATGATGAAACCCCACCATTGGAAGACTCCTCAAAGACTACACAGTGTGGGGCCAGCGCAGGGCCAGCGTGTGGCCTGCGTGCACCGCTTCCTCTAGCCGGTGCCCAGGGCAGACAGCACTAATCAATAACAGAACTCTTTCCTGCTGCAACCGGGGACAGCCTCAGAATCTTTCCCAGTCCAGTCATGAGAGCTTGAAAACCCAATCCTTACTTTGCAGATGGTGAAACCAAGGCTTGAAGAGGGCTCCTTTGCCCATTCACACAGGAAGTGTGAGGCAGGGCCAGGCTGGAGGGAACAGGGTCGTCTTTTGTGCCCAGCCCTGCCCAGCGTGCAGGGCCCCAGCAAGGCCCAGCTAGAGTACAGGACAGTGAGCAGGGGCACTCCCTGCGGGGACACAGCCGAGAATGTGCTGGGCATGCGGGGGACCGCAGGGAAGCTGAGGCTGGCTTGTGAGAACACTGGCGGGGAGGGGAGACAAAAGAGTCAGCGGGTGGCATTTCTCACCATCTGGGAAGAAGCCAAGGCTCTCTCGTGGCCAACCACCTTTCCAAGCCAAACTCCCCCTGCCAGATGCTCAGACAGCCTCTGCCACCACCCTCACCCATGGCCTGCAAACATTTGGGGTCAATGCAATGCAGGCTTTTTGTGCCAAGCTCACGCTAGGCCTGAGGACAGAAACAGCGTCGATTCGTCAGTATGTGCCAGGTTGGGGGGTGGTCCTTGCTCCACTTGTATCCCACTTGCCCCCATCCCAACAACCAACTCCAGTGTCTTTTTCCTCAAAGCCCCCTCTGGCCACTGGAGTGCACTCTACCCTTGCAGGGGCCAGGCCAGGGAGTAATGCCACCGGGAGCAGCCTTTAGTCAGTGACTGATGGCAGCAGGTGGATAAACTCCCAGCAAGCTGCCCTCAGATGGGCTGACTCTGAGGGGTGTGTCCTTTACTGTCCCCTGGCTTGCCCATCTGGATGGAGCCCGGCTGTCCCTGGCAGTAACCGTATGAACGACACGGCCTCTGTGGCTTCCCCTCCTTCCCTGTCTCACTTCCTCACTCCCCTCTAGGACTCCCTGGGTCCACCTCCCACTAAATCACTTGCACTGGAACCTTTGTCTCCTGGGCCTTCCTCATGGGGCCCCAAGTGGCTTCTCCACAGTGAAGGATCCTGAACCCCAGCCTCCCCTCCCGGAGGCCCCCCAAGACACGTGGCCCACACAGCTCCTCCTCTTCTCTGACATCTCCTCCCGTCCCCCGTCCCCCTCTCTTTCCTCGCATTCCTCCCCCATCTCCTCCCCCCACAGGAAGCCCTTCTGGATTCTGGCAGAGGAGGCACCCAGGAAGCACTCCCTGACCCATGAAAGGATGCAGGAATCAGCCGCAGAAGAGAGGGATGGATGAGGAGGTGGCTGGAACAATGAATGGGCAGCCAGACCTGTGTCCAGGCGGGTGGTCAAGCAGGTGCATGGACAAACCGTGCTGACAGATGGTGGATGGATGGACGGGGTGGCCGTAGAGATGGACGGGTTAGGTGGGTGGAGGAGCGGGTGGATGGCTTAGTGAGTGGCCGAATGGATGGGACAGGTCAGTGGGTGAATGGGTGGATGGACGGAAGGACGGACAGACGGATGGATGGACGGGCAGGTGAGCGAATGGTTGAGAGATGAGTGAATACATGGATGGAAAGACGGGAAAGACAGCTGGACAGGTGGGCAGGTAGGTGAGTGGATAGATAGGTAAGTGGATGGCAGGTGGATGGAGGCGATGTTTGGAGCTACGGGATGGACAGTGGGTGAACGAGAGGTCACACAGAGGTGGGGGAGGGGTGGGGGCGGGAGAACGGATCGATGAGGGAGGGGGTAGATGCACAGGGCAGTGCTTGTGGCATGGATGACTAGACGGATAGGTGCACATCAGTAACTTCAATCTTACCTCTTGAATTCTATCTCCTAAGTAATGGTGCTGAGCGGGCAAGTGACTGTCTTCAAGGCTGAATTAGCAGCGGCTGCCATTTCCCAGGCACCAGCTGAGGGGGGTCCGGTCACTAGAAGATCCTAAAGTTAACAGAGCAAAGCCAAGTTACTGCAGACGGTGCTGCTCTCCTCGGAGGGGCTCAAAAGTCACTTTTCCACGTGAACCCACATCTCTGCTCACTTCCCCCAGAGCCCCACGGGAGGTGGGGGGCCTCCAGCCTGCATCTCTGACGTGCATGCCTCCACAGTGCTCCAGCCCTGTCCAAAACAACCAGCCAGAACCAGAGAAGGGTAGAAGAAGACGGGTCTTCAGAGAAAATTACAGCTGGCAGTTATTGAGTGCCTACTGTATGCCAAACACTGTGTCCGCACAGCCCCATGAGGGTGGAACGATTGCTGTTCCCATTTGAGAGAGGTCGGTAACGTGGTAATTCTCCTAGGGTCACAAAGGAACTCGGTCCCCACCCTGTGCTCCTAGCCACCACCTGCAGAGCCTTCCTCATGCCAGCCCTAGGGTCAGCTGTGGACAGCTGGGTGGATGGGTGTGGATGGATGGGTGAGGGGAGGGATGGGTGGGTGGGTGGACTGATGGATGGAGGGATGGATGGATAGAGGGATGGAGGGATGGAGGGATGGATGAGTGATTGGGTGGAGGGATGGCTGGGTGGGTGGATGGATGGAGGGATGGAGGGATGGATGGGTGATTGGGTGGAGGGATGGAGGGATGGATGGGTGATTGGGAGGAGGGATGGATGGAGGGATGGAGGGATGGAGGGATGGATGGGTGGGTGGATGGAGGGAGGGATGGAGGGATGGAGGGATGGATGGGTGATTGGGTGGAGGGATGGGTGGATGGTGGATGGTGAATGGGTGGATGATGGGTGGGTGGGTGCGATGCAGATGGGTGAGTATGTGCATGGATGGATGAGGTGTTTGTCTGAGTGGGGCAGATGCATAGACAGATGCGTGAGTGGGCACGTGGGTAACCATAAAGAAGGGAG